AGGATTGTGGGGTGGTGCTAGTGAGGAGTATGCAGGTGCTATATGGAGAGCTATTGCATTGTGGACGAGGACAACCCATACGACCGCCTCACAGTGCAGGTGAGAAGGATTGTGGGGTGGTGCTAGAGAGGAGTATGCAGGTGCTATATGGAGAGCTATTGCATTGTGGACGAGGACAACCCGTACGACCGCCTCACAGTGCAGGTGAGAAGGATTGTGGGGTGGTGCTAGTGAGGAGTATGCAGGTGCTATATGGAGAGCTATTGCATTGTGGACGAGGACAATCCATACGACCGCCTTACGGTGCAGGTGAGGGGGGTGTGAGCATGGATATGCATGGGAAGGTATTAGTGCCACGCTTCCTCAACTCAACTACAAAAATGGGGATGAGGACAACACATATGACCGCCGTACAGTGCAGGTGAGGGGGGTGTGAGCATAGGGCATGCCGCATGCTACACAGGAGGGTACTAGTTCCACGCTTTTCTCAACCCAAACCCCACATCCCCGACGCACACTTTCCTTTCCCTTCCCCAGGTAGCCTTGGACCCTGATCAACCCCTGTACTAGACCAGTCGGGATGTGGATTTTTGAGTCGACTCAAAAGTCACCCCTGTACTAGACCAGTCGGGTTGTGGATTTCCAATAGGGCCGTATGCACCCCTAAGGGTCCTGATTCTTTTTTCGTTTCGTTTTTTACTCAAGGCCTTTGATGGCCCTGATTCTCATTCTTCTGTTCTCCTCTCCTCGTCATCTCTCCTTTTCCGTCCCCCATTGGACCCTGACGACCCCTCTTGCACCAGGCCAATCGCGTGTTAAACACTGTTAGTTTCTTTGTATTCCTCTTTTCTCATCCTCAGTTCTCATCCATTCCGGGTCCCCTCTCCTCCCCTTCTCCTTCCTCAGGGGCTCATGCTCTTGCCATTGCCCTTGTACAGTAGTGGTGGAAGGGAGAGGGGGAGGTTGGTGTACACTTCTTTCTCTTGCTCATCTCGCCATCTCCCCCTCCGCACTTCCCCTCCCCTCCTCTCCCCCTCTCTGCCTCAGGTGGCATTGAACCCTGACGACCCCCTGTATCAGGCAAAGCGGGCCATTGTGCAGAAGAACGACCTCCTGCGCACCCAGGACTTCCAGGTGGGTCTCCACGTCCAGGAGATTCCTCAGGTGGAATTTCAGGTGGTTCTTCAGGTGGCTGGTTCCCAGGAGATCCTGCAGGTGGTTTAATAGGTGTGTTTCCACGCGATACTTTGTTTGAATCTCAAGAAGTTTTCTCCAGGTGGAATTCTAGATAATGGGAATAATGATGCGTTTTGTTCACCCAACCTCCCCCTTTCCCTTCCACCACACTAGCTGTACAAGGGCAAAGAGCGGGCAGCCCTTTACGACTTAATGCCCTACCTGTACCTGACTGTTGACATTAACCAGAAGACTTCCTTACAGTCCCTTAACTTTTAACCAACCCCCCAACCGCCCCACCCCCCTCCCATCTGTGTGCACCACATCAGATGTACAAGGGCAAGCCCTATACGACATGATGCCATGATGACGCATTCTCTCCTCACCTTCACACCCTTCTCTTCTCAACCGCCCCCAACCCACCACATCAGCTGTACAAGGGCAAGGAGCTGGCCCTATACGACATGATGCCCTACCTGCGCCTGACTGTTGATATGAACCTACAGTATTCCTTACAATCCCTTCACCTACGGGCTAACTCCACAACCCCCCACCCCCCCTCCCATCCCCATGACACCACACCAGCTGTACAAGGGTAAGGAGCACGCAGCCCCATACAACATGATGCCACGATGACACATTCTCTCCTCATCTTCACACCCTTCTCAACCGCCCCCAACCCACCTCATCAGCTGTACAAGGGCAAGGAGACGGCAGCCCTGTACGACATGATGCTTTACTCTCTCCTCACCTGCTCTCCCCCCCCCCCCCCCCCCTAACCCCCATCCCTAACTTCTCACATCAGCTGTACAAGGGTAAGGAGACGGCAGCCCTGTACGACATGATGCCCTACCTGCACCTGGGATAAAGACGCCTTTTTCTTTTGCAATCACACCCTTCTCAACCACCACCAACCCATCAGCTGTACAAGGGCAGGAGACGGCAGCCCTGTACGATATGATGCTTTACTCTCTCCTCACCTGCTCCCTGCTCCCCCCCATTCCTCCTCCCTCCCCTCCCTCCTAACCCCCATTCCTAACTTCTCACATCAGCTGTACAAGGGCAAGGAGACGGCAGCTCTATACGACATGATGCCCTACCTGCGTCTGGCACACGTCACTGACCCCCTGGATATGGAATTCGTCACATTTGCCGATGGCCCTGTGTGCGGGGTGAGTGGGGTGTGGTGAGTGGGGGGTGAGTGTGTGCCTGTGTGTGGGGTGTGGGTGTGGCCGTCCCAGTGTATGTGGTGTGTGAGTGGGATGCATGCCCTACCTGCGTCTGGCGCATGTCACGGACCCCCTGGATATGGAATTCGTCACATTAGCCGATGGGCCTGTCTGTGTGCGGGGTGAGTGGGGTGTGGTGAGTGGGGTGTGGTGAGTGGGGGGTGAGTGTGTGCCTGTGTGTGGGGTGTGGGTGTGGCCGTCCCAGTGTATGTGGTGTGTGAGTGGGATGCATGCCCTACCTGCGTCTGGCGCATGTCACGGACCCCCTGGATATGGAATTCGTCACATTAGCCGATGGGCCTGTCTGTGTGCGGGGTGAGTGGGGTGTGGTGAGTGGGGTGTGGTGAGTGGGGTGTGTGGTGAGTGGGGTGTGGTGAGTGGGGTGTGTGGTGAGTGGGGTGTGGTGAGTGGGGTGTGTGGTGAGTGGGGTGTGGTGAGTGGGGTGTGTGGTGAGTGTGTGCCTGTGTGGTGTGTGGCCGTGCCAGTGTGTGTGGTGTGGTGTTGTGTATGAGTGAGATGCATGCCCTACCTGTCTCTGGCGCATGTCACAGACACCCTCTACGTGGGTCCTCATGTACACAAATTCCCACGCATGTCAATCCATGCAAAGAGAGTGCAGCGATGGATTAGCTGGTGCAAGAAGAGTTGTGTTTCCTGCTCATTCATCACCTCCTCCCCAGCATCTATGCCCCATGTACTTCATAATCACTTTTCGCAATTCTTAGAAGTGACCTCATCTTTGTCCCATCTCCAGTGCCAGTCACCATGTTCCCTATTGTCCCTGTTCTACCATTTTCCTCATTTCCGTGGTTCAAACGCGGGTTAGTCCATGCAACGAGAACGCAGTGCCGCATCAGCCAGTGGAAGGAGATACGTGTTGCCTGTTATTTCATCGCTTCATGTCCTGCATCTATACCTCATTCCCCATTATCCCCCTTTACCTGTATTTCCATGGTCCTTCCAGGTGAGTCCATGCAACGATAACGTGGTGTTGGTTTAGTTGGTGGAAGGAGAGCTTCAGTGCGTTGCCTCACCCATTCATCCCCACCTGCTTACATCTTTGCCAGATTCCTGTATTCCCCATTGTCGTTTCTTTCTTCGTCCCACAGGTGAGTCCGTGCAACGAGAACGCGGTGTTGGATCAGCTGGTGGAGTTCTTTGAAGCCCGGCTTGCAGCGTTTGATCCCCACTCTCACGTTCTCGTTGTTCTCCCCATATCCCCATGCCCCCCCATCAAATACACAGGTGAGTCCGTGCAACGAGAATGCAGTGTTGGATCAGCTGGTGGAGTTCTTTGAAGCCCGGCTTGCAGCCTACCCCACCACTCTTGAGGAAGACATCGCTGCGGTAAGAAATGATTCATAAAAGGTAACATGTGATACGGGTGGTGCATTCTCAGTTCATTTTGCCCTCTCAACCCAGCCCAAGAGGTGGGTGGCGTCACGGCTGGTGCCCATTGCGAAGGAGATTCTGAGAAATGCACTGGCAACCTTGCAGGAGGTCATTCTACTCACCCCCTCATCCTCCTCTCCCCCCTACTTCTTGTTACATCTGCCTCTGCCCCCTGTCCCCTCTCCCCTTTCCAGATTGCTGATCCCAGAACCTCTCCCAAGAGGAGGGTCGCAGCACGGCTGGTGCGAATTGAGAAGGAGATTCTCAGCAACGCCCTGGCAGCCGTGCAGGAGGTCATTTCTGCCCTGCCCACGTGGAGCGAGGCACCGTGCTACAGCCAGCACAGGCCCATTCTGAAATAGGTCTAGATACAATGAATTGCTGTGTTATAGACTACATATGCTATGGAAATTCCTCATATGTAACTATGCTAGCATTGGCTGGATACGGTATGTTTTTTCAACCAACTCATTGAATAATGCCTCTCATAAATTGAAAATTGAGCATGTGAGAGAGCAACGAGGGAATTGAGGAAGTCCAGGACAAGGAGGATGGGATAATGTGCTGGAATCGGGGAACAATAAGGGGATGTGAGGGTGGAAAGGCGGAGGGAGATGAAAATGGAGAGGAATGGATGGCAGTTCTATGTACTGTGTACGTTAGGATAGTTCGGCCTATGGTAACATACCACACCACAGCGAATGAAACAAAAAGGTTAATCATTACGTCAGCCGGGAATCGAACCCGGATCTTTTGCTTGGAAGGCAAATATCCTAACCATTGGACTACTGACGTGGTGTTCACAACTGACATGACACTATATACTTACTTTTCTTATGCTGAACCTATTTACTCAGCAGAGCGACCTCTCTTGGCTCTTGCTAAACCAACTCAAACTGAATGCACGCCTGGCTTAGAGAACATCCTTGTATAGGGCCCACTTTGGGCTAGTCGATTCTCACAACCACCTGTGCTACAAGAAGTAGTCTCAGATGAGACCCCTAGTCTATACGGAACAAATTTGACCAAACAACGGACAACAAATTGCTTGTCCCCTATGACCCTTCTTCCCTACGTGTCATACGTACTCGGCACCACACATGGTCGTGCAAGACAAGACCAGGTCGGGGCATTTTTACTTTTGGCAGGGCTCTTAGAATACCCATGCCATGATACCCATGCCTCTAGACGCTACCCATGCGTTTAGACGACACCCATGCCTCTGGAGCTGCTGCTTCTGCCCAGCCTGGCAGCACTCGCACTGGCAGGCGTGGTTGTGCTGCTCACAATCCCCCCCACCTTGCTTCTTGGACTGGCAGGCCTTGAACCCAACCGCCTCTCCTCCCTCTTCTTCTCCTCTTTCTTCTCATCCCTATTCTTCTCATCCTTCTTCTCAGCTTTCCGCTCGACCTCTCCTTTAATCCTTCTCTCCCCCTTCTTGTCCACGTCAGCCTGTGCCAGCCTGGCAGCAACTGCCTCATGCTCCACCCTCAACTGTGCCAGCTCACCCTCTGCTGCCTGTGCCGCCCGCCTCGACTCCTCCAATTGTGCTGCCATGTCAGCAAGCCTTGCTGCCAGCTCACCCTCATGTGATTGCTGTGCTGCGCTGCTGTCTGCTGCTCCAGAACTTGCCAATGCTCTGCCATGGGAAGGGGAGAAGAAGATGGAAAACACACAACAAGGAAATCAAACTAATGCAAAAACAAGATACGTCACACAAGCTTCTGGTTCTCAATTCCAACCCGCACAGCATCATTAACTGACACACACACACAAGCTTCTAGTTCTCAATTCCAACCCGCACAACATCATTAACTGACACACACACACACAAGCTTCTGGTTCTCAATTCCAACCTGCACAACATCATTAACTGACACACACGCACCACATTGAACACGCTTCTCTGTGTCCAGTACCATCGTTTTCAGCAGGCTATTCTTCACAGAATTTGCTCCCAATACCACCAGCAATACTCCCCACCTGTAGTGAGTCCATTTTGTAGTCAACTCAAATTAGGCTCACTTCAGCAGGTTGTTCTTCACACAAGTTGCTCCCAACACCACCAGCAATACGACTCACCCTTCTCTGCGTCTGCTCTTGTGCAAGTTATTGGCTTCCAGAATCTCTGCCAACTCAGTCTCCAGAATCGTCATTCTCTCAGCCTGTGCACATTTTCCACCACTCCCACCTCCCACCACCACCCACCACCTCTCACCACCTGTCATCCCCCCTTGCTCACCGTTTGAGCTGCTCCTTGTAGCGGTTGTTGGCCTCCAGAGCCTCTGCCAGCTCTGTTTTCAGAATCGCCATCCTCTCTGCGCGTGCAAATACATACCCACTCCCACCGCCTACCAGCACCTACCAGCGCCTACCACCGCACACCACCTCCCACCATCTCACTCACCGTTTGAGCTGCTCCTTGTAGCGGTTGTTTGCCTCCAGCGCCTCTGCCAGCTCTGTCTCGAGAATCGCCATTCTCTCCGCCACACCACTCGCCATGCGTTGTGCCGCCGCCTTGCGAGGGTCCTGCAGTGACACAGGGCGGATTGGAACGGGATTTGCTCTTGAAATGTCTTTTAAATCGCCATTCTCTCCGCCACACCACTCGCCACGCGCTGCGTTGCTGCCTTGAGAGGGTCCTGAGGGGTCACGGGGTGGATAGCATGGAATGGGATTAGATATGAGAGCGTGAGGGCGAGAGTGAGAGCATGAGGGTGAGAGTGAGAGCGTGAGGGTGAGAGTGAGAGCGTGGGGGTGAGAGTGAGAGCATGAGGGCAAGAGTGAGAGCGTGAGGGTGAGAGTGAGAGCGTGAGGGTGAGAGTGGGGCTGCGATTTGTTAAGAAAAGTTTCACTGAAAAGTTTCACTGCCACCCCCACGTCCCTCACCTCGTGTGTATGAGCTCTGCACTGGACCCCTTGGGTGCTGCCAGCACACATACTGCAGCTCTGCCACACATGCTAAGATTTTGACAACTCGCTCCTCTTGAGTTGACTCAAAAGCCACCCGTACCACCGACCCTTCCCACCCACGTCCCTCACCTCGTGTGCATGTATCTCTGTGTCGTACCACTTGAGTTCTGCCACTTTCAATTCGACTCAGAAGCTGGCCTTCCCCTCCCGCGCCTCCCCCCCACCTGCACCTCCCACCCTTCCAATCTCTCCTACCCCAAGCCCCTCACCTCGTGCGCATGTGCCTCCCTACCAGACCCTTGAGTGCTGCAAATAAAGTGCCTTTCAATTCGACTCAGAGTTCGCCACTGCCACCCCTCCCACCCATCCCACTCCATGCCCCTCACCTCCTGTGCGTGTGCCTCAGTGCCGGTCCCTTTGAGGGCTGCCAGCGCACACCGCAGCTCCGCCTCCCTCACTCGCGCCTCCCCCACTTGCTGCTGTGCCTTGCGCAACTGAAGGAAATGGACCATACGGGGGTGGGGGGACCGAAGGGGGAGAGGGAGGATTGTCAGCATGAGGATTATGAAGGTGGACGAGAGGATTTTGAGGCGCTTCAGAATGAAGCTCTGCCACCCTCCTTTGTGTCTCCCCCACCTGCTGCGCACCTTGTGCAATTGAAGGAAAGGACTCACAGGGGAGTGGGAACGGAGGGAGTTGATTCGAGCATAGGGGATTGCATGATGTTGCATGTGAGCACACACTCCCGATCCCATGCATATGGCCTCCATCTCATGCCCATGGCTACCCATCCCAAGCACATTCCCCAAACCATCCCATACCCATCCCATGCCCATGGACCCCAATCCATGCTCATTCCAAGCCTATCCCACCATCCCATGCCTTTGCTCATTCACTGCTTCTTGCTGCTCCAGCCATCAACCCCACTCAAACTAAAATTCCTTGCATCTCCTGTTGCTCAGCTGATCTGTGCGACACCTCAAAACAGAATTCCTACCTCCTGGTTCAGCCTGGCAGTGGCGGTGTCTCCTTTGCTCCCCAGCAGCTCGTTGGCTGCCTCCAGCTGCTCCAGCCGCTCTGTCAAACTGCGCTCCCTCGCCTCTGCTGTCGCCCTGCTGCTCTCCAAAGATTGCTCCAGCGACCGGACCTGGTCCTGTTAGGGGTGGACATGGATGGAGAGGGTTGGGATGGGTTCAGTGCAGTTATTGAGGTGCCTGAAAATCGTCTCCAGCCGCTCTGTTAGGTTGTGTTCCCTCGCCTTTACTGTCGCCCTGCTGTTTTCCAGAGACTGCTGCAGCGACCGCACTTGGTCCTGTAGGGAGTAGAGTTGGGTTGAAAGTGGTTCATGTTATAGTCACAGTAGGCTCGAATGTGCTTAAAACGAAAAATAAAGTGCACAATTAATTTTCTGTACAGCGGCTCTAAACGATCATAGCGTTCTGGTCACAACTCCAAATGACATGGATCTGGAGCGTCTTGACGTCGTCTACAATCAGCAATTTAAAACGCACAATTTCATCAAGTATTGACGACGCAACATCAGTTTGAACGAACGGCACTATGACAGCATTATAGTCTTAGAACACAGATTAGGAAGGGTTATGGGTTGGGAATGATTCCCAGCTCCTACAAACCCCAAGAGCCAAGGTACAGTGATGTGGAACAGTGCCACACTGTCCCCAACCACGAAGGGTCTCGAAACTACCCTCCACAAGGGCCTACACCAAGTGAAATGTTACACTACACAAACGACAGCGAACGAGACACACACGACCGCGTAACACGCGACTAGCGATAACTCGCTATTGACTTGACACACACATTCGACATCAAGACTCACCATTCACACACTATTATAAGCATGAAATATATATTTATTTCATGCCCTCGTACCATTCCATGTACACATGCATGCACGCACACGGACAACAAGCTGAGTGCAAACCGTAGGGTTGCACCAACAGTTCAAGGTAGGGTTGAGAACGGGGCACAATAGTAAGGAAAACAGTACAGAAATTACAGCTCCATTCTCCTGTCCACCACCATATTTCTCATATTCCCTCCCCAACCCACAACAAAAGATCTAGCTCACCTCTAGCTTGCCGACTTGGCTCTCCATCCCGCCACCTCCCCCAGTTGCAGCCTGCCTGGCGGTCTCCAGCTGTGTCTCAGCAGCAGCCAGCGCCTCTGCCTTGCGCTGCAGCTCGCCCTCCAGAGCCATCGTTCGCTTCCTCAGCTCCTCCACCTGCCTCTCCGCCCCGCCCTCTCCCCCTCGCGCCGCCATTATCCCCCCGGCCCGCCCACCTCGCGCGAACGCCCCGCCCCCTCCCCCGCCCATCATCCCCCCTCCGCCTCCCCCCATTGGCCTGCCTTTCATTGCGCTACCAATGCCCACAGCGCCCAGTCCCCCAGCGACCACACCCACCGCCCCATCCCCCTCCCCTTTGACCTCCGCCAACTGCTTCTTAAGCTCCCCATTCTGCTGCTTCAGCTGCCGCACCTCCTCAGCCAACGCACTTGCAACCGCTGCCCCAGCCCCTCCTCCCCCACTACCCCCTCCACCCGCAGACCCAACCCCCCCAGACACACTCGCCAGCTGCTCCACCCGCTCCTCCAAATCCCTCACCACTCCTTCCAACCGCTTCTTCTCCTCTCTCAACCCCACCACCTCCTCCGCCTTAGCCGCCAACTCCCCCACCTCCCCTTCCAGCACCACGTGCTTAGCCCTCAAATCCTCCAGTTCACTCAACCCCTCCTCCATCTTAGCGAGTTTGAGCGACAGTGTAAGCCTCCTCTCCTCTAGCACCTGTTTCTCCGTCCGCACTGCCACCAAATCGCTCTTAACCCGCTCCAACTCCTTCACTTTCGCAGCCATGATCCCCTGCTGAGCCAACAGCGTCCGCTTCTCCCCCTCAAGCTCCTCCCTCACCGCTTCCAGGCGCTTTACACCCGCCTCCGCCTCCCCCAACTGCCTCACCAGCTCATCCCTCTCCTCCTCAACCCCCCTAAGCTTCACCACCGCTTCCGCCGCCTCTGCAGCCTCCCTCTTCAACCCCTCCGCCTCAGCCGCCCACGCGGCCTCCCTACTGCGCGCCGCAGCCTTCTCCGCAGCCACAGCCCGCCTCTGGCTCTCCACTTCAAGCTCCGCCTTGTTCCTCTCAGCTATCGCATCCCTCAGTTCTGCCTCCGCCCGCCTCAACCGGTCCTCCAGCTTCCCTTTAGCCGCTCTCAGCTCAGCCGCCTCCACCGCACTCGTATTCTCTCTTCTCAGGTTACCACTCGCGCTCACGGACGCGGATAGCTGCTCAGTCAGAAGCTGAACCTCCGCCTGTAGCCGTGCTACAGCCGCCTGTCGCTCCTCCTTCTCCCGCCTCTGCCCCTCCTCCGCCTTGCCCGCCCTCGCCTTTGCTTCATCTCTATCCCTCTCCACCCCTTGCAACCGGGCTGTCAGCTTCGCTTCCACCTCTTTCATCCTCGCCAGGTCCCTCCCCATCTGCTCCCTCACCCTCTCCCCCGCCGCCTCCCCTGCTGCCGCCCTCGCCTCTGCCGCCTCCCGCTTCGCCTCCTCCTGCCCCAGCACCCGACTAAACCGCTCCTTCTCCCGCTCCATCTCCTTCAACCGTCCCTCAAGCCCCTGCACCTCGCTCATCAACTCCCCTTCCCTCGCCTCCGCCCTCTGCAGCCGCCCCTCAAGCTCCTTGGCTCTCCCTGCCTCAGCCTTGGCCTCAGATGTCACCACCACCAGTTGAGCCTGCACCTCTGCTACCCTCTCCTCTGCCCTCCTCTTCCCCGTATTCGCCTCCTGCAGTTCCGCCTCTAGCTTCCCACACGCCCCTTCCAGCCGCAACACCCTCATCTCCACCTCCCTCTTCCCCGCCCCGGACTCCCCAGCCACCTTCCGAACCTCCGCCTCAAGCTCGGCAACCCTCTTCCGAGCCTCCTCCAGCTCCTTGCTCTTCCCACGCCGATCCCCACCGCCCAAACCAGACAGCTCCCTCACCTCCCACTCGGCTAGCCTCGTCTCTAGCGCCTTCACCTGCCCCTCAAGCTCCACAATCCGCCTCCTCGCCTTCTGATTACTTTCCCTCATTTCCTCCACCTCACTGGAGCTCATACCGCCGTTGCTGCGCCTCACAGCAGCAGCAGAATCCGCCTTGGCATCATCTAGAAGCTCCTGCATGGCAGACAGCTGTAGCTCTACCTCTTGAACCCGAGACTCAGCCAGTCTCTTCCCCTCATCCAGCAGTCGTACCTGCTTCTCCAACCCCGCCCTATCGCTCCGCCACGACCCCATCCCCTTCTCCAGCTCCTCCATTTTCCCCTCCACGTCATCCTTCTCCTCCCGCAGCTTCTCCTTCTCCTTCGCCAGCTCAGCGGCCCGCGCACGCCACTTAGACGCCACCTCAGCAAGCAGAGCCACCTTCCCAGCAGCATCCAACCCCTCTGCCCTCGCAGCCAGACTAGCAGAATCCTCCAAATTAATCCCACCAACCCCATTCTCCAGCACCTCAGCCAATCTCTCACTCAGCTCCTTCCCTGCCTGCCCCTCATCAGCACACTTCTTCTCGAGCCGCCCCACCTCCTCCACATACCTAGTCAACTGACTCTCCACATCCGCCCTGGCCTCCTTCAAATGCTCCACCTCTAGCTCATGCCTCCTCTCCGCCTCCTCCCTCGCCCGCCGCCCCGCTGCCAGCAGCTTCTTGGTACTTTCCAGCTCCGCCTCCACCTCCCTAGCCCTCCGTTCATACTCCTCTAAGATACTAAGCCTGTCATTCGCCCTCTGAGTGGCCATTTCAGCGACGCGCACCTTGCTGCGCAGCTGAACCACCTCCTCCTTGGCCGTCTGCGCCTCCCCCCGCTGCACCCGCAGCTGCTCCAGCAGCTCCTGCACGCGCGCCTGCAGCTTCCGCGCATCTTCCTCGGACACGCTGCTACCGCCCTCACTGCTCACAGCCCTCACCGCGACCTCTGCTCTCTTAGGTTCCTCTACAGGAGCAGGGGGAGGGGGCGGGGGCGGAGATGGTTCCGCAGGCGGGGGCGGGGGCGGGGGAGGGGGGGTACACTTGGGGCAGAGCGCAGGCGCGGAGGGCTCAGAGCACTTCGGGCACAGGCAGGGGGCAGGGGGAGCAGGAGGCGGAGGCGGCGTGGGACGCTGCTGCCTTAGCTGCACGGGCTGGTACGGCTTCGGCTTGGGCTTTGCCTGTAGCAGCTGCGCTATACTCGCCGGGAGGCCTCTCCCCCCCCTCGCCGCGACCAGCTCCTGCTTCAGCTGCTCAATCAACACATCCTTCTGCTCCGCTTCCTTATTCGCCGTGTTCAGTTCCGTAGCTAACTCAAGACTCTCTGCTGTCAGCTCCTGTGCTTCCTTCTCCAGTTCCTCCACCTTCTGCTGGAGCTCCATCAGCAAGCTCTCATCGCAAGTCATCCCCGCCGTGCCACTGCTCTCCTGCCCGTCATACCCCGCGTACCGCTTATTGCCTCCGCCGCCCCGCACCTCCCCCTCGCTCTCTGTCGCCAGCTCCAGTTCATCCCGCAGGTTCCGCGGAACCAGCCCCGCGCGCCTATCCCCCCCCCCCCCCCCCCCCCGAACAAGCTCCTCTTAACCGACGACTGCGCGCTCCCCCCCACGCCGCCCATCCCGTCCGAAACCCCCACGCTCAGACCCAAACCCAACCCGTCCATCCCGCCGTTCCCCTGCGCGAGCTCCGCCAGGCGCCTCCCCCACTCCGCCTCCTTCTCCTCCATCTGCTTCTGCAGCCGCTTCGCCACCGCTTGCGCCTCCCGCCTATCCTCAAACAATTCCTCCGCGTCCCGCCTGTACTTCCCCGCCTCCCTCTCCGCCTCCTCTAGCGACTTAGACAGCTCCACATTGTCCCGCTGAAACACCTCCAGCTGCGCTGATAAGCTATCAACCGTGCCTTTCAGATACTCCACCTCTTCCATCAGCATTTCCACCTCCCTGCCGCCCCCCATCCCGCCGCGCATGCCCCCGGGTCCGCCCATGCTCCACTCGCTCCCCTCCCCCATCCCCCCGCCGCCCATTTCCCCGCCTGTCCGCCCCATCCGCAGCTGATTCAACTCCTCCTGAAGCTGATCCCTCTCCCCTTTCAACTCCCCAATCGCAATATCAGCCCTCTGGTCCTGAGTAATCGCCTCAGCTAGCTGGCTCCTCAGGCTCTCAACCTCCCGCGTGAGATTCCGCGCGTTCAGCTGGTATTTCACGCAGTCCCGCTGCAGCTCCTCTATAGCCGCCTCCGCCGCCGCCAGCTCCGCCGGGTAATCCCTCACAACCGCGGCCCCTCCGCCCCGCCCGTGCACTGCCCCTAGCGGGTTTGTCAGCGAGCTTCCCACAGAGCCTAAGGGGCTGAACCCGTCGGGGATGGGACCAGCAGGGACGGGCGACATGGCGCCTGCGCTGGGCGAAGGCATCGCGCCGTTCCCCTTGGCGCCCGCGCTGCCCCCGCCTCCGCTGCCTCCCGCTAGCCCTCCCCCGCGCGTTCCCCCCTGGTGGTGGGTCCCATACGCGGTGCTGGCTGCGCCGCTAGCAGCGCTCCCGCCGCCTCCCCCGCTTCCTGCCCTACCAGACGTTTGGTAATACTCAGGGTAGGCCAGGCGCGTGTGCTGGTGCTGCTGCTGGTGCTGCGGAGTCGCCACAGGGGACGAATTCATACTCGAGGGCGGGGAAACCAGGTGCCCCTCCCCCAGACTACCCCCGCCCGCGCCCATCCCCGCGCCTGCCGCGCTCGCCCCGCCAGACTCCGCCCACGCGGGCTTATACCCCGCGCCAGTGCCAGCAGTCCCAGGAACCGTGCCCGTGCTACCAACCATACTAGCCGGCGTCTGAGGCGTTCCCCCCGGCCCCTTACTCCAGCTTCCCAGCGCCCCACGCGGCGACATGCCAGTCATAGGAGCCCCACCTCCCCCACCACCACCACCACCACCACCCCCCATAGACCCCATTACTCCAGGCGACTGCATCTCCTGCAGCTCGTCTGTATACTCATTCTCCCCAGTCATCTCCCCTGGTGTCCGCTCCCCATACTCGCTCCCCTCCAGCCCTGTGTACTCCATCCCAGTCGCTCCCACGGACGGGGTGAGCGCAGGGGACAAGGCATCCGGCATGCCCCCCTGGGAGGTTCCGTCTGAGGCCGAGTCTAAGGCGTATTGCCGCCGCCGCACCTCCTCCCGCTGCTGCCGCTGCCACTCGCGTTCCATTCTCACCCGCCTTGCTTCCTCCTCCAACTCCTCCTCCGCCTGCCGCATCTCCTCCCTCTGCTGCTCCTCCAGTAGCTTTCGCTGCCGCTCCTGCTCCTGCCGCTTCCGCTCCCTTTCCCGCTCCCTCTCCTTCTCCCTCTCCCGCTCCATCTCCTTCTCCCTCTCCTCCTGCTCCTGTCTCTGCCGCTCCCTCTCCTTTGCTGCCAGCTCCAGCTCCCGCTGCTTCTCTTTCTCCTTAGCCTCTCGCTCCCGCTCCCTTTCCCGCTCGCGCTCCCTTTCTTTCTCCGCCTCCTTCTCCCTTTCTCTTTCCCTCTCCCTCTCCCTCTCCATTTCTCTCTCCTTTTCCCTCCTCTCCCTTTCTTTCTCCCGTTCCCGTTCCTTTAGCCTCTCTCGTTGCTCCTTCTCTCTTTCTCTAAGCCTCTCACGTTCCTCATGCTCCCTCTCCCTCTCCCTTTCCTTCTCTCTCTCCCGCTCTTTACCTCTGCTCCTGTCTCTCTCTCTTTCTCTCTCCCTGTACCTGTCCCCGCCCCTTTCTCGTTCCCTCTCTCTGTCTCTGTACCTATCTTCATCCCTTTCCCTATACCTATCCTTCTCCCGCTCCCTTTCCCTTACCTTCTCCCTTTCTCTCTCCTTTTCTCTTTCCCGCTCCCTCTCCTTCTCTTTCTCCCTCTCCTTCTCCTTCTCTCTCTCCCTCCCTCTAGACTGAGACCTAACTCTCACCGCCCCATGCTGCTTCTCCTTCCCCGCATCCTTTGGTTCCGCCCCTTGCGCATGCACGCGTGCGGGGGAAGGGTCGCGCCCAAACCTTCCGCGCAAAGGGGACGCATGGCGCGGGGAAGCATCCTTATTCCGCCAGAAGAAAATCCCCCCTCCGCCTCCGCCTCCGCCCCCCGCGCCGTCCGTGTCCACACTGACGCGCATACCCTCAGGCCCCGCGCCCGCGCGCGCCTGCGCCTCTCCCCCGTGCGCTGCCGCGCCCCTGCCCCTGTTGCGCTCATAGAGGGCATCCGCGGAGTCGTTGTCGTCCTGCGGAGTTGAGTGGTGAAGAAGTCCCACGCAAGGAAGGAGTTAACAGGTGTCAAGCGGGAAAGCAGTGCAGACGCAAGGGAAGAGTCGTAGCTTTCAGAGTTGAAGAGTGTTGAGCTGTATTTTGAAAAGTGACTCTAGTCGAAAGTAGCTTTAGATGGAAGCGTGTTAAGCACTTGTTAAAGAGGGTTTCGACGGTCCAGTAAGGTCAATATCGGTTCAGCACAACACCATACCTGTTATTCTCTCGATCAACTGACCTGATTCGACGGAAGGCTGGAAGAACGACCGATGGAAGGGGTCGCTGCTACTTGGGCTCCTCTCTGCTGCTGCTGCTGATGTTGCTGCTGATGGTGATGATGATGATTGTTAGTTGGCTCGTGGTAGTGCTTCTGCAAGTCCGAAAGATAGTGGGACAGGGAATGCGTTAGTTGATGGGCTGAGATTGAGATGATTTTGTTGCCAAGTTCATACCTCCGAAGTAAAGCCTAAGAAACATGCTCCAGAGAAAAATAACCCAGCAAACGTGCTTCAGGCGTACCTGCCCGTTGCAAGCGCTTACCTGTCCTTTGGTGGGCGTGGAGGTGTTGGGCAGGTCGATGCTCGACAGCACCAGGTCGCTCGCATATAAATCATACAAACAATCTCCAGCTTACCTTGTCCCGTGCTGCGCTTACCTGCCCTTGCCCGCGCCTACCTGCCCCTTGCCGCGCCTCCCCGCCCCGTGCTGTGCCTACCCACCCTTGTGCTGCACTCACCTGTCCCTTGGTGGGGGTGGCGCTGTTGGGCAGGTCGATGCTGCTCGACAGCACCTGGCTTATCGCAGATAAACCTTCCAAACATGTTCCAGGCCTACCTTGTCCCCTACTAACCCTTGCAGCGCCTATCTACTAGCCCTTGCCGAGTCTACCTGCCCCTTGGTGGGCGTGGTCGTGTTGGGCAGGTCGATGCTCGACAGCACGTCGCTCGCGTCCGACTTGCTCTTGCTCATCCGCTTCGGCCCCGCCCCCCCTGCTCCATGCCCCCCGGCCCCTGCCCCTCCTGCTCCTCCTGCTCCCCTTGCACCCGCTGCTGCACCTGCCCCTACAGCAGCAGCCACTGCTGCCTTGCCAGCTGGCTTCTTGGGCGTGAGTTCCTCCTCGTTCTCGCTCTGCCCCGTGTCCGACTCATCCCCCTCCCTGGCGCGTGGGAACGAGAAGGACGGAGACTAGCAAGACGGTAAGTGGAACGAGAAAGTGACAAGACAGGGTGAATACAGGAGGAAACCAAACGCATGGAATAGCACAAAAGCATCAAGACGTGATGGGTACAAATGTGGTAGATATAGAATATTTCTAGGTACAAAGCGGTTACCGGGGGGAGTTAGTGATGCAAGGGAGCGATGACTGACCTGGGATCGCGGGACGAGCATTGAATGGTCACCTGAAACACAGTTTCCGAGCAGGAAACACGAGCAATGCAAAGGTAACGCACAGAACGTCAGCTTCTAAGGCATCTCAAGAACCGTGCAGGAAACATGAGGAAACGCAGAGATGAGCACGCAGAATGAGAAGGACAGAAGGATAGCGCAGTGCTGATAAGAAAGTATAAACAAGAAGGAAACGCCAGGGCACGGGCACTCACATGCAGCACGGTGCCTGCAGGGCAGTACTTGAGTGGCAGCGCGCGTTGGTCGAGCTGGTTAAAGCCTGCAAAGTCCGCAAGGTTCAGCGTTGCCTCGCCCAGAATGCCGCCTCGCGTGGAGCCCTGTAACGCGTACAACGGACGTCAGGAGATGAGCGGGGGACATACGGACGCCAAAGAATGAACAGGGAAGATCACAGTCGAGCAAATCAAAGAAGTTTAAATGAAAACAGCATTTAATGCAATCCTGAGCCCCCGGTGTGGGTGTGGAAACCAGGGCTTGTTTCTATGGATAACATTTCTGCGGTAGCCATGTCTCAAAACCGCGTGTATGCGTTGCACAATGGACAAGATCTCTCCACGAAGCACGACCCTCGCGCTTTTTACGAAAACAACAAGCCTGTTCACCGTCTGCTCCCACCCTTCCATTGAAGTTTTTTCAGTTGACTTAAGGTCATCTTGAATCGATTTAAAAGTCATCCCTGTGCTCACTACGGAAAAAAAGGCCCACAAATTGTCTTCTCGCACCCTTCCTTTGAAGGCCCCTGAATAACCACTCGCCGTGGACACGATAAGCCGGTACACATTCTCCAGTACCTTTTCTGAGGCGCCGCAAAAACCACTTATAAAAGACTCGATAAGCCAGCAAGCCTTCCGCTCGTACCCTTCATCGAAAAGGCCTCAAAAACACGCACCGTGGACACTACAAGTCGGTAAACCTCCAAGCTTTTTGAGTGAACCAAAACTCACCGTCGACACGATAAACCGGTACACCTTCTGCTCGTAGCCTTTCCCTTTTGGATTCCTGGCGAGTCGAGTGACCTCGGTGACGGTGTCGGTCCATGTGCACGTGCCGTTCTTCACCACTCCCTTAGGCGTCTGACCCTCGAGTTTCCCCGTGTCCACCGGAATCAACGACACCACCAGCCTTTCGAACCCCGTCGCCGGCACCTGCCGTATGTTTCAAGTACAAAGAGGTACGAATGCGAATACCACGTTCATGTTGTTAGCAATTACAGAAGCGACTCAGAAAGGGAACCCCTTATGCGTCTACCCCTCAAGTTCCCCGTGTCCACCGGCAGCGACATCACCAGCCTCTCAAACCCCGTCGCCGGTACATGCCGTGTGTTTCATGACGGGTAGAGCGAGCGCGAAGAGAATGCGTGAGTTAAGGGTGAAGGAATCAAAGAGAGGTCCGATGTTTGAACATTCACCGGAAATCTGAGTTCCTTCTCCGACCCGAGAACCACTTGCAGGAGATTTGTTTTTTATGGTAACAACTGTGAACCTCATATAGCTAAGTGGCTTGGACATGTGAACATCTTAACTGAAACAGGTGACAGTAAGAAGTCTATATCTGTGCAGTAAGTGCATAATGGAAACCGGTGTCCTAAGATACACGGCTCATCACTGAAACTTTGATGTCCAGACGAAGTTATATGACGATGAAACGGTGACATAGGTAGTGGTTGCTTACCCGAGTAGCATGAAACCTAAACCGAAACTCGAACTTCTCTTTCTTGGACCCGAAGGCCTTAAACATCTTGTAAAATAATTGCTTTTCCGCTAATAATAATACTTAATATTAAACGGACTGCACCTCAACCAATCCGTTTCTGAGCCTGCATGACGCAAACTGCTAAGTATCTATCAGATAAGCAGAACGCGCACGCGACTCGCTAAACTAAAATAGCCTCGTCTTTCACTAGAATAACTTAGTCTGCTCCACCCTGATCATCCAAATCAGTCATGGAGACTCAGGCGTGGCAAGGTAAGAAGTGTTGCTGAGATAGGTAAGTGCTGCCTCCCTGCCGAGTCAGTGGAGAGGGCCAACAACAGTCAGGCTTTCTGACTCATTTGCCTGGCTACCTTGCTGATGGAGTATTTGCACACGCTCCTGAACTCGACTAATCACGAGTGCGGTTCAATACGTTTACACACGGTAAACAGGGGTTCCTTGATTTTACCGCTCGGGAACGCAGTTAACCGAACTAAACTGCTGAGTGTGCCTCAATGCCTTGCCCCCTCATCTCGTACCGACCCTGGTTTTCGGACCGCCTTGGGATTGACGTCCAAGCAGGCTGATTGGAGGTGTCTGGGTTGGTCGCTTGGCTCCCGGGCAGTTGGACCAGAGCATTGCGAAAAAGTCTGGATCCTGATTGGTGGAGATACTCTCAAGGTGCCTGATCGCGCCAGTTTCCCGCTCACTCCATCAGTTTCAGAACGAAAAGTGCGAACCGTGACGACACCTATCAAACCAAAGCGGTATGGCTTGTTTGCTGACAGATGCTGTCAGAGTGTTGCGCCACGTAAATAATCGTTATAACGACAAGCATATCATTACATACTCAACTATCATATGCTATGTAAATTTCCCAAAGACATATGTCTGCAGGGTAAAAACAAAGAAGTCTTTAAAATTTCTTTGTTTTATCCAAAAATTATACGGTATGCGGGCAAATTATCACACGGTAGATAAATGCTACATGGAATGATGACCAATATTGTGTTACACCCTTACAGATGCCTGCATAGGGAGAAGAGCATGGAGTAATGCGTTCCAGCCAGCCTGAATTGCTGCTCCACTTTTCATCCTACGGCAGCAATCATTTGCCACAGGTGACTCTTAAAGTGAGGTAGAAAGCACTGCGAATGCATTCCTTTGCAAGACACAATAGCTCGAATCCTGCTATGCACTCGCAATCCTCAAAACCTACCTAATGCATTTGTCCCTCTAGATACACCTATAATGTGTGTGTTGCTTTCAGAAGGGGTTAATTCCCGCAAGTGTACCCTCTACCACACGTGTCGATATCATAGGGATGCCATGCAATAGCTTAGCTTCCCCGTAGGTATGAATGCCAAATTGGAGATTGCCAGTCAGGCTCATTCGTCGAGGTAATAGTAGGTGCCCGCAGACTTCTGCTCGCGGTCCTTAACGGAGTCCATCTTGTTGATTCGCGGCCGGAAGTTGGTGGGGTCCCTCCTGAACGTAATGTCCAGTTGCTGGTGGGGAGAATGGTGGTGGTGGTTTTGGGCAAGGGAAAGAAGTGGTTGTGAGGGGAACACGAGCGAGAAAAGAGGTGAGAACGCGAGCGAGAAAGGGGGTTCCATGAGTGCACCCTCCGACGGTACACCTCCCATGTGTGCCCGCAGACTTCTGCTCGTAGACGGTGACCCAACCATCCAGCAGAACAGGGATCTATAGAACCACTAGGAGTACGAGCGGTACAATCCACAGACGGCTGTCCCTCGTACACGATGACACGGTCCGCCAGGTACGTGGCCATGATGAAGTCGTGCTCCACCACAAAGAGGGGGGGGGTCACTCACACAGTTAGAGAGAGAGAGAGAGGGGTTTTCGTACCGAGAGGAAGAGGTTCATGCCGCTGTTGAGGGACTGAGGAGTGCGCGCCGTGCAATCCACCGAGGGCTGCCCCTCGTAGACAATCACCCGGTCCGCCAGGTACGCTGCCATGATGAAGTCGTGCTCCACCACAAACGAGGGGGCCTCTCTCACTCACACAGCAAGAAATAGGGAGAGTGGCGTACCGAGAGGAAGAGGTTCATGCCGCTGTTGAGCGACTGGGGCGTGCGGGCAGTGCAGCCGACTGAAGGCTGCCCCTCGTAGACAATGACCCGGTCCGCCAGGTAAGTGGCCATGATGAAGTCGTGCTCCACCACAAAGGGGGGGCCTCACTCACACAGAACGAGAGAGAGGGCAGAGAGTGTCTCACCGAGAGGAAGAGGTTCATCCCACTGTTAAGGGACTGAGGAGTACGAGCGGTACAGTCGACTGAAGGCTGCCCCTCGTAGACAATGACCCGGTCCGCCAGGTACGTTGCCATGATGAAGTCGTGCTCCACCACAAAGGCCGTCTTCTTGGCGTGCAGGATGAAGCGCTTGATGACCTTGGCTGCCACGATGCGCTGCTCGGAATCCAGGTAGGCCGATGGCTCGTCGATCAGGTAGATGTCGGCAGGCTGGTGGTAGAGGGAACGGGGGAAAGTGGAAGAGGGAGAGCAAGGAGGGGAGTGGGGGGAGCAGAGGGGAGGAATGAAGCGCTTGACGACCTTGATCACCTTGGCTGCCACGATGCGCTGCTCTGAGTCCAGGTAGGCTGATGGTTCATCGATCAGATAGATGTCGGCGGGCTGGGTTGGGGGGAGAGCAGAGGGAGCAGGAGAGAAGGGGGGAATGCAGAAGGTTGCAGGATGAAGCGCTTGATCACCTTGGCGGCTACGATACGCTGCTCTGAGTCCAGATACGCTGATGGCTCATCAATCAGGTAGATATCAACAGGCTGGAGAGGAAGGGGGGAAGGGGAAGAGGGAAAGAGTGGGAAAGTGGGTTCCCCCACCCACCACCATCCGTCCCTGACACACCTGATTGGCTGGTGGCACATACCTTTCCGAGGCAGAGCGTGATGGCAACACGCTGCAGCTCCCCTCCTGAGAGATTCACGACCTCCTGGTCCAGCAGCGGCTCGATCTGCATGGGGCGCAGCACGTCCGTGTTGAACTGCGGGTGGTGGAAGGAGGGGGTACCCCCTCCCACCACCCATTCAGCACACACCTGTCTGCTCTTTCTCACCTTTCCCAGACACAGGGTGATGGCAACACGCTGCAGCTCCCCTCCAGACAGATTCACCACCTCCTGGTCCAGGAGTGGCTCGATCTGCATGGGGCGGAGCACGTCCGTGTTGAACTGCGGGTGGTGGAAGGAGGGAGTTTCCACCAACCGAGCTCAAACCTATCTGCCTCCACCTCCCTCGCTCATTCTCACCTTCCCGAGGCAGAGCGTGATGGCAACACGCTGCAGCTCCCCTCCTGAGAGATTCACGACCTCCTGGTCTAACAGCGGCTCGATCTGCATGGAGCGAAGCACGTCGGTGTTGAACTGCGGGTGGTGGAAGGAGGGGGCTCCAACCACCACCAAACCAGCCCAGCCCACACCTGTCTGTCTGCTCTTTCTCACCTTCCCGAGGCAGAGGGTGATAGCAACACGCTGGAGCTCCCCACCAGACAGATTCACCACCTCCTGGTCCAGGAGTGGCTCGATCTGCATGGGGCGCAGCACGTCCGTGTTGAACTGCGGGTGGTGGAAGGAGTCGCGGATCTTGGAATGCAGCAGCGCGCGCACGCTGTGCGGGAACTTGGGGCTGATCTTCTGTGGCTTGTACGACACGTTGAACTCCGGAAGGTCTTCCGCCTCCTTGCCCGTTTCTTCATCTGGGTCCGGCTTCAAGAGGCCGGCCTGTGTGATGGGATGGACATGGGAGATCAAAGGGGAAAGGGAAGGGGAAGGAGGATGAGCACGCTGTAGGGGAACTTGGGGCTGATCTTCTGCGGCTTGTACGACACGTTGAACTCCGGAAGGTCTTCCGCCTCCTTGCCGGTTTCTTCATCCGGGTCGGGCTTTAAGAGACCGGCCTGTGAGGAGGCAGATGCAGGACCGGAGAGGAGAGGGAGAGGGGAGGAGGGGCGGAAAGTGAATGAGAGCGGGAACTTGGGGCTGATCTTCTGCGGCTTGTACGACACGTTGAACTCCAGAAGGTCCTCTGCTTCTTTCCCCGTCTCTTCGTCCGGGTCTGGCTTCAAGAGGCCAGCCTGTGAGGAGGGAGGGGCAAGGGAGATCAAAGCGGAAAGAGAAGGGAAGGAGGATGAGCACGCTGTGGGGGAACTTGGGGCTGATCTCCTGTGGCTTGTACGACACGTTGAACTCCGGAAGGTCTTTCGCCTCCTTGCCGGTTTCCTCGTCCGGGTCGGGCTTTAACAGGCCGGCCTGTGTGATAGGAGGGACGTGGGAGATCAAAGGGCGAAGGGAAGGCGAAGGAGAATGAGCACGGAAAGGGAAACTTGGGGCTGATCTGATCTTCTGCGGCTTGTACGGCAGCTTGTACTTGGGCAGGTCGGTTGCTTCTTTCCCGGTTTCTTTGTCTGGATCCCGCTTCAACAGACCCGTCTGGAAGGGGTTGTGCTGACAGTGAGACGGGAGGGGATGACTGGAGAGGAAGTGGAAATGAGAGTGAGTGGGGTGACTTTGGGGCTAATCTGATCTGATCTTCTACTGCTTGTACGGCACAAAAAAGAGCAGGGGCGTTCAAGAATGCTTTAGCGAAAGACAATAATCATTTACCAGCATGCGAATGAAGGTGGTCTTGCCGGTGCCATTCTCCCCCAGCATCACTACGATCTGCAAGTCTGTGAAATCCCCAGGCTCCACCGTCAGCTCGAACCCGCCCTGCTTCTTCTCAACAGCCCCAGCGCCTCACCATCATACCTGTTTTTTCATAACAGCCCCACTACCACTATACAAGGGGACCTTCCGAAACATGTGCATACCAGCATGCGGATGAAGGTGGTCTTGCCGGTGCCGTTCTCCCCCAGCATCACCACAATCTGCGAGTCTGTGAAGTCCCCCGGCTCCACAGTGAGCTTGAACCCGCCCTGCTTCTTGATCATGCGCGGGTACTTGTAGCGCGTGTACGTCTTGGCCTCTTCTGGGTTATCCACTGGGGTTTCAGCCACCTGATGGGAGCAATGATGGGATGAGATGAGGCAGAAAGGTGGGTTAATGAGGCGCCTGAAACAACCCACACAGTCAGCTTGAACCCGCCCTGCTTCTTGATCATGCGCGGGTACTTGTAGCGCGTGTATGTCTTGGCCTCTTCAGGATTATCCACGGGGGTTTCAGCCACCTGAGATGGAATGGGGAGGGGAAAAAGAACGGAGTGAGAGGAGGGGAGGAGGAGCTTGCTTGAACCCGCCCTGCTTCTTGATCATACGTGGGTACTTGTACCGAGTATACGTCTTGGCCTCTTCAGGGTTATCCACCGGGGTTTCCGCAACCTGATGGAGAGAGATGATGGGGTGGGATGAGATGAGGCAAAGAGAAGGCTTGCTTAGGCGCCTGAAACCACCCACACAGTGACCTTGAAGCCGCCCTGCTTCTTGATCATGCGCGGGTACTTGTAGCGCGTGTACGTCTTGGCCTCTTCAGGGTTATCCACTGGGGTTTCAGCCACCTGAGATGGAATGGGGAGGGGGGATAGAACAGAGTGAGAGGAGGAGCTTCAGCCCACATTGCTTCTTGATCATGCGCGGGTACTTGTACCGTGTGTACAACCGGGGTTATCCACCGGGGTTTCTGCAACCTGAAGGGTGAGAGGAGGAGGGAAAGGAGGCGTGCGCAATTTCAGGTGCGTGCAAACAAGACACTGATTTTCCTTACAACAATAACGAGTTTTGAGGCATCTCGGCTAAACAAAGACGGGGAAAAAAGAGAGGAAAACAAAAGAAAAGGGCACGAATACAGCAAGCGAAAAAGTTGTTGGTGTGCTCTTGCGCTGAGAGGGAAAACTTCACTGATGCAAGGCAAAGTCTCCCTTGCACAAGGAGACATTGTACACTTACGACTGCGGATGTATTTGCTTTTGTTACAGTGCATACTCATCCAGCAAAAAAAAAAAAAAGGAGACTCACCCTGAAGGTGAGCGACTCGTCTCGAAAGCGCAGGTTCTCGGTTGGAACGAAGCCGGCAAGGAAGATGCTGATGCCCTCTCGCACTGAGAAGGGCGGAACTCCTCTTGTGCAAGAAGGATTTGCAGACAAGCACACATACCCTGAAGGTGAGCGACTCGTCTCGAAAGCGCAGGTTTTCAGTTGGCACGAAGCCGGCAAGGAAGATGTTGATTCCCTCCCGCACTGAGAAGGGCGGTACTCCCTTCCTTTGAGCCAGCAAGCGAAGCAAGGAAAAGACGTTTCATCCCACAAAGAGAAGCCGTTGAAAAGCAGGCTCACCCTGAAGGTGAGCGACTCGTCTCGGAAGCGCAGGTTCTCAGTCGGCACGAAGCCGGCAAGGAAGATGTTGATGCCCTCCCGCACGGAGAAAGGCAGCGTGACCACCCCGTAGGCACCCGGCTTGCCGTAGAGGCAGCAGATGAAGTCAGAGAGGTAATCGAGCACACTCAAGTCGTGCTCCACCACAATCACGTATCTGGGGGGTGGGGGGAATATATGGATGGGGCAGGGCAGTGGGTGCATGGGCACATGGGTGGTAAGGGCAGCGTGACCACCCCATCGGCGCCCGGTAGCGACAGCAGATGAAGTTGGAGAGATAGTCCAGCACACCGAGATCGTGCTCCACTACAATCACGTATCTGGAATGAGGGGTGTGTGGGGGAAACGGGGGAAGCGCATGTTGAATGAGGCCAGGGTGATGGGCAGCAGATGAAGTCAGAGATATAGTCGAGGACACTCAGGTCGTGCTCCACCACAATCACGTATCTGGAACGGTGGGGATGAGGGTGTGTGGGGCATAGGGGCGATAGGTGCACAGGGCAGGGGGTGAGGGTGCTTAAGAGGCACGGCAGAGGGATGTCTTCTGGCTTGCTGTAGAGGCAGCAGATGAAGTCAGAGAGATAGTCTAGCATACTCAAGTCGTGCTCCACCACAATCACGTATCTGAGAGGGGGATGATGGGATGGGAAGTGAGTGGGCAGGGCAGTGGGTGCATGGGGTGATAGCGCAGAAAAACCGCCCCGTATGCCCCTGGCTTGCCGTAGAGGCAGCAGATGAAGTCAGAGAGATAGTCGAGCACACTCAAGTCGTGCTCCACCACAATCACGTATCTGGGGGAAGGAGAGGGATAATGCGCCACAGGGATGGGTGCATGGTAGGGGGGATGGGTGAATGGGGCATGGAACAGGAGAGAGGAAGGGCAGTGTGACCACCCCGTATGCGCCCAGTTTGCGGTAGAGGCAGCAGCTGAAGTTGGAGAGATAGTCCAGCACACTCAAGTCGTGCTCCACCACAATGACGTGTCTGGAATGAGGGATGTGTGGGACAGGAGATGGTGGGTGTATGGGCAGGCGGTGGGGGAGTGCATGTGTGGCAGGGACAGAGTGACAGCACCCGTATGCACCCGCCTTGCCATAGAGAAACAGCAGATGAAGTCGAAGAGTTAACCGGGGGTGGGGAGGGGGTGGGGAGGGGGGGGGGGGGGACTCATATCATGCTCCACCACAACCACGTTTCTGGGGGGAATGATGGACGCATAGGGTGGGGCAGGGGTGATAAGTGCCTGAGAGGTAGGGTAGAGGAACTGACCATTCTGCACCACAGCACATGGATTGTCTTATGGGCAGCAAAAGATGGAGGTTAACCACTGCATGTGACCGTAGCAGCTCACCTATCAGGACGCAGCAGTGCTCAGGGCGCACCTATCAGGGCGCAGCAGTGCTCAGGGCGCACCTATCAGGGCGCAGCAGTGCTCAGGGCGCACCTATCAGGGCGCAGCAGCGAGCAGATGACCTGCGCTGCTTTGAGCCGCTGCCACACGTCCAGGTAGCTGGAGGGCTCATTGTGTGCTTGTCTGTCTGAACGCACCGGCATGCCTGCCTGCCTGTATATGTAGCCTCTGATAGCACCACCTGTCTGTGTGCCTGCCCTGTCTGATCGCACCTGTCAGGGCGCAGCAGCGAGCGGATGACCTGCGCTGCCTTCAATCGCTGCCTCACGTCCAGGTAGCTGGAGGGCTCGTCGAACATGTAGATGTCTCCCAGCTGCCCAGCAACCACCCCAATGGCAAACCGCTGCAGCTCTCCCCCTGATAGATGCTCCACCTCACGCTCCCACACCTGGAAAGACACGGAAGAGGAAAAAGGGGAGAGGGAAGGCGTGGCGAAGGGGAAAAGGCTAGTCGAACATGTAAATGTCTCCCAGTTGCCCCGCCACCACTCCAATGGCGAACCGCTGCAGTTCCCCCCCTGATAGATGCTCCACCTCACGCTCCCACACCTTAAAGGAGTGGTGAATTGAGATAGTATTTGGTGATTAGGTGGAGAAGAGGAGAGGGTTCATCAAACATGTAAATGTCTCCCAGCTGCCCCGCTAGCTACCACTCCAATGGCAAACCGCTGCAGTTCCCCTCCAAACAGATGCTCCACCTCACGCTCCCACACCTGGACGAGGGAAGGGGAAAGGGGAGGAAGGCGAAGAGGAAGGAATTAGATGGGGGAAGCGCAACCAGATGGGGGCGTGTAAGACTAGCCAATTGGCCCGATGACAAACCAATCAATGTTTTTTTCCCTGACGATCCCTATCGCTTCTCTATGCACCCTTCTCTGTGAGCACCACGCTCACCTGCCCCCAAGAACGCTGCCCCGCTTGCACCTCCTTCCTTGAAACCCCCTCGCACCTCTATGAATCCCTTTGCACCGCACTAAACCCCATCGTACCTGCTTGAGCTCCAGCACCTCCGACAACTCCTCCTTGGCCTGGCGCTCGTCTTTCTCTGTGAGCACCACACCCACTGTAAAGGAGCACCACGCTGGTGGGCTGCTTGGCCCCTTCACCGCCTTCCCTCACTCTCCACACCAAGCAGCCTCACAGCCCTGCCCCACTCGCACCTCCTTCCTTGAACCCCCTCTCACCGCTCTGAACCGCATCGCACCTGCTTGAGCTCCAGCACTTCCGACAGCTCCTCCTTGGCCTGGCGCTCGTCCTTCTCTGTCAGCACCACGCCCACCAGCCCCTTCACCGCCTTGGGAATGTGATCCACGTACTGTGGCTTGATGATGGCCTGAGTAAGGGTGAAGGGAGGGGGGAGAGGGAGGGGGGGAATGAGAACAGGAGGACAAGAATTGACTTTTGTGCGCCCCAAATCCCCCATCACTTTGAGCACCACGCCCACCAACCCCTTCACCGCCTTGGGAATATGATCCACGTACTGTGGCTTGATGATGGCCTGGCCCTGGGGACAAGGCGAGTAACAAAGGGGTAACGGAAGGGGAGATGAGAACAAGGGGCAGGGACGTTGTTTTGTGGCCTCTCTGTGAGCACCACCCCCACCAACCCCTTCACCGCCTTGGGAATATGATCCACGTACTGTGTGGCTTGATGATGGCCTGAAGACAAGGCGAGAAGCGAAGGGGGAACGAAAGGGGGGCAGGGAAGGGGAGATGAGAACAAGGGGGCAGGAACTCGTTTTGAGGCCTCTCTGTGAGCACCACCCCCACCAACCCCTTCACCGCCTTGGGAATATGATCCGCGTACTGTGTGGCTTGATGATGGCCTGCAGAAAGGTGGTGGGGGGTGCAGGGAGGAAATGAGAATGGGAGGGCACGAGAGACATGTTTGGCGCCATTAGAAACCACACCTCTGTCTCAGCACCACGCCCACCAGCCCCTTCACCGCCTTGGGAATGTGATCCACGTACTGTGGCTTGATGATTGCCTGGGGACAAGGCGAGAAGCGAAGGGGTAACGGAAGGGGGGCAGGGAAGGGGAGATGAGAACAAGGGAGCAGGGACGTCGTTTTGGGGCCTCCCTGTCAGCACCACGCCCACCTGCCCTTTCACCGCCTTGGGAATATGATCCACGTACTGTGGCTTGATGATGCCCTGGGGGGTTTGAGGTAGGTGCGGCATGGGAGGGAGGAAAATGAGAATGGGAGGGCATGAGAGACATATTTGGCGCCATTAGAAACCCCACCACTCTGAGCACCACACCCGCCTGCCCCTTGACCGCCTTGGGAATGTGATCCACGTACTGTGGCTTGATGATGGCCTGGGGGGTTGCATGGGAGAGGGCTGGGGAGGAGTTACGCTGAGCAAAGGCACAAGCACGTTTCTTAAGCGCCTCACACCACGCCCACCAACCCCTTCACCGCCTTGGGAATGTGATCCACGTACTGTGGCTTGATGATGGCCTGAGAGGCAAACGTGCATACATACCTCCCTTGCACCACACGGTTCTCTTCCAAAATGCAGTTGGAGCAGTTTTGCAGCTCAGACAATGTCAGACCCCCCCCCCCCAATGTCAGCTACATACCCCCTTGCACCGCACCCCACCTTGAGATTATCGTCCACAATGCGAGTGAAGCAGTTTTGCAGCGCAGCCAGTTTCAGACCCCAACCCAATTCAACCTAGCGTCAAACCCAACCTGCATACCCCCTTGACCGCACCCCACCTTGAGGTTGTCCTCCAAAATGCGAGTGAAGTAGTTCTGCAGCTCCGACCCTCGGAAGTAGGTTAGAATCTCCTGCCAGTCAGGGGGGTTCTGCACAAACGGCAAGCACGGGATACATGGGGAAAAGGATTGGGCGGAATGAGACTTCTGCTCACGGCAAATCATACAGCTCCCCAGCCCTCGGAAGCAGGTCAGAATCTCCTGCCAGTCTGAGGGGTCTCTGCAGCCAAAATGTGGGGCACACGCATGGGAAGAAGATGAAGGACATCACTTCTTTCTTAGAATTAGTTCTGCAGCTATGATCCTCGAAAATAGGCCCACATTCCTGGATGGAATAGAAGTGACCAGGGGAAACACGGGCTAGGCTAGCTGCTACATTGAGCAACTGTTGGAGGCGGCATTTGAGGCGGCTCAAAGGGAGGGGGTGAGATGAGGGAATGGGCGGCTGGTGCTCACACTGAATCGCCCGAGGTTGGGCTTGAGCTTGCCCGCAAGAACTTTGAGCGCCGTTGACTTGCCAATGCCATTCGTGCCCACCAGACCCAGCACCTGGCCTGGCCGCGGCACTGGCAGCCTGAGAAACAGGCGTTAAGTGTGGGGAACACGGAGGGGTTGGTGTGGGGGGGGGGAAAGCGCCGTTGACTTGCCAATTCCATTCGTGCCCACCAGACCCAACATCTGGCCTGGCCGCGGCACGGGCAGCCTGGGAAACAGGCGTTCGGAGTGGGGGACACGGAGGGGAGTGGGAGAGGGGGGGGAGGGGGGGGAAAATGCACCATTGACTTGCCGATGCCATTCGCGCCCACCAGACCCAGCACCTGGCCTGGCCGCGGCACGGGAAGCCTGGGAAACAGGGGTATACGCAGGGGTTGGGGTGGGGGGGGAAAGCGCCGTTGACTTGCCAATGCCATTCGTGCCCACCAGACCCAGCACCTGACCTGGCCGCGGCACTGGCAGCCTGGGAAACAGGCGTTGGGAGAGGGGCATACGCAGGGGTTGGGGTGGGGGGGGAAAGCGCCGTTGACTCGCCAATGCCATTCGTGCCCACCAGACCCAACACCTGACCTGGCCGCGGCACTGGCAGCCTGCGGTGGTGATGGGGCATAAGGCGGGAGGCTCGGTTGTCAGTGGTTCTGCGGATTCAGGGGGTGCTAGCACTGGCAGTCTATCACCCTCATCTGGGACCATCACATATACATTTGGAGGCTGAAACCGACTAACGGATATAGTTCTTTGCGGCTGTCACAGGGAAGGCAACATTAGACGGGCGGATGGAAGGGAGTCGGAGAATGCCAGGGACGGATGGAGGCGCCGCGTTAAACCCTGAACCCTGGTCGAAGGCATTTGTGCGCGCGGGCTTCGTACGCCTAGCGCTGCTATGACGGTGAAGGTCGGCGCCAGAGAGTGTCACTACTAGTATTGGTCGCCTGTGATAGGCTCGAAAGAAAGCTGGTCGTGTGTCAAATGTCACGCCTGCAGCGCATGATCTCAGCAGCCCAAGCTCTGCTGCCAATGGTATGCTAGACCTAACCTAACCCCTCGCGCGGGCCTCCTCAGCGAACCATCACGTGTGAAACTGACAACTCTTGCAAGTGCGCTATCCGCGTTGGAGGCTGTCTCTGACTCGCCTCAAAACGTTACCTCGTCGATCCACCACGTGTACTTGCGCTCACACTAGAGGCGTAGGCGATATCCCGTGCTCTAATCTACAGCCAACAAAATAACGGCTCAATCTCGTCTGCAGCGTAACAGCCTGCAACATTAGGCCGTCGACTGCTGCGCGGCCGTGGAGCCTAGCCTGCGAAGCAACGCGAGGCTAGCACTAATGGAGTTTAAAGCTGCTAACTCTGACGTCACTGTAGAGCCTGACGCCACAGATTCTGACGTCACCTGTGGAGCTTGAAGGTGTTGGGGCCGTAGCGGTGCGTGGTGTCCTTATCGAGGTCCTTGGGCAGATTGATGATTTCAATGGCGTCGAACGGACATTTCTGCCACCACAAACCACAAACACCGGGAAGAACAAAAAAAAACACACACACAATTTCTGACCACGCCCAGAAACACCGAGAAATCGCATGTCGACTTTTTGGAACGGGATGTGATATCGCGAATCCCCGAGGCGAAGTAACCGTTCTCAGCGCCAATGCTCACCTTGACGCAGATACCGCAACCGATGCAGAGCTCTTCGGAAATGAAGGCGATTTTGGAGGAGGAGCTGACCTCGATGCATAGCTTGCCTGTGACAAGCGAGTCAACGAGTCAACGGGTCAACGGGTCAACGGGTCAGGGACATTGAACGAGTCAACAAATCAACAGTCAGGAAGAAAGGGTCAGAGGCATATCTTATACGACCGTGCACGTGAGGCTGAGGGAAATAATGGGGAAAATCGGCATAGAATATTGTCGAAGTCGAGACGCAAACGAAGACAAGGTTAAGTCGAACTGATAGCGCGACACTCGAGGATGAACTGCTGACGGGTCGTAAGAGGAGGATGCGAAACACCCGAGAGAAACCGTGACCAGACGCGAAAATGTAACTAGGCGGCGAAACGAAAGGGGATTTTCGCGAAGGCTCAAACGGTCACCCGAGGATCGAAGGGATCGGATTCGTGAATCTAACGAAGGCGGAGAGGAGAAATAGAGATAGTAAGAGACAGAGTGGGTGAAACGGCGAAGACGGTACCAGTCTTGACGACTGGACAGCTCTTCTTGCACTCCTGCCGACACTTCTTGGGCTTGCAGCGATCGCCGCTCACGATCGCAATTCGCGTCAACCGATCCGCCATGCCGTATCTAAAGTTTCGGCAAAACTAAAATCCTCACAAAATTCTATGTAGACAAGCTCCCCGCGACTTATGTTACGAACACCAGCAGCTCCCGCGACGGCCGGAGCCGATTAGTTACTACGGCCTTGCCGGACTACACAGGAGCCTGCAGCAGACCTGCGAGGCAAAGGGAGTTGAAAAGGAGCTGGAAGCTCCTTTTGTTGCTTGCTGGCTCGTCTCCCCAAGCAGCAGACCACGCAAAGCCCAAGGTACAAAATCCAACCAAAAACGCGGATAAAGGGCATCCGTAGCGTGCTGCTGGTGGATGGTGGAAAAGAGACTAGTTGTGAAGTGGCGATCAGGCTGTTGATCCTCAGCCGCAAGAATGGCATTTGGAGTTATCGAGGATGGAGAGAAAAAGGAGTTCATGATCTACTGTACCTCCTCGTGTACGTGAGCAATATAGCATTTATAAAAACACTCTCTCAGCAAATATTGTCCCCTGCTCCTCTCCATTCCATATGCAAGCATTTGTAAGTGCATAACACATATACCTTTTTTTAGAAGACAAGATTTTAGTTTATTCAGCCACACCTCTGTAGCTAACACCAACCAAGGGCTCATCATCCCACTCAGGGTATTTCATTGACTCAAAAAGGTTCTCGTAGCCAATGCACATTCTGCCATCTGGGCTAACTCTCGTGTGACTTTGTGTAGCAACAATGAGTAATAATTTTTACCCCAGACTGCGTGCCAGCTCAGCAATGGCAAGCCCGTACAGCGAGGAGGGGTTGTAGCGCAGGATGACGTGGAAGTTGTGGCACGCCAGGTAAGCGACGCCAGCTGGACCGTCAGGTGCCACCTGGAGAAGGAGAGGGAGGTGGGAGCCAGGTAGGAGTAGGAGCAACATGGGGGCCAGGCTAGGTAGGGAGGAAGCCGCATTGAAGAGACTTTCACTTGGTTTTTTAAGAGCTCCATAGTCAGGTGCTACCCCGAGGAGGTGGAAGCCGGGTTGGGGAGTTCAAGAGAGGAAGTTTTATCAAACAGTTTTTTGCATGATTGATCTCAATTGGATCAAGGCGGGCATGATGGGATAAACCAGTGGGAGGAAAGGAAGTCACTGGGAGGAGCTAAGGGCAACAGGAGGAGGGAAGCTGTCTCGGACCATGGTTGCTGGATCGGAGGGAGGAGGGGAGCTGGTGAAGGATAGCAGGTGCAATGGGCAGGAGAAGGAATGGGCAGGAACGTATTGGATATGCGAGGAGTTCTGGCTGAGAGGAGGAGTGGGTTGTACAGGAGGGAGGAATGGCAAGAGGGTGGTGGCGCTGCACAAGAGGGACAGGAGATGGTGGAGATCAAAAGGGGAAGCAGCAGGAGAATACCAGAGAGGCAATCATGTCGGGCGGTAGAGATGTGGAATCGCTCCCATCCTTGCCATTGCTCTCCCCGCTGCCATTGCTGCCACCACCGCCATCAGCAATTCTGACTCCGTGCTTCTGCTGCCACTCCGCCACGGTGAGTTTCACGGCGGGCTTTAAGAGGGCGGGCGGGAAGTCAGGGGGCAGGACCACCTGAGGGGGAGGGATGGGGAGATTCGCTCTCATTTGATGGGGACTATATCAACTCCGTGCTTCTGCTGCCACTCCGCCACGGTGAGTTTCACGGCGGGCTTTAAGAGGGCGGGCGGGAAGTCAGGGGGCAGGACCACCTGAGGGGGAGGGATGGGGAGATTCGCTCTCATTTGATGGGGACTATATCAACTCCGTGCTTCTGCTGCCACTCCGCCACAGTGAGTTTCACGGCGGGCTTTAAGAGGGAGGGCGGGAAGTCGGGGGGGAGGACGACCTGACGGGAAGGGAGGGGGGAGTGGGAACCAAGCGATGAGCTTTGAGGCACCTAGAAAGTCGTCTCTTGACTATCAGCGTCTGAACCAGTAGCACTTGAGGTAGTTGCTCAATGGCCAAGAATTTACCATCAAAGAACCATGCATTGCTGCCCTGTCAAATGCCATCAACACTCTTGAGAATACATGAGATGAGGGAACCGTGCTGTGTCACCCCATCATCTGCCACCAACACTAGCATCGGCTTACTTAATGCTCTTCAACACTCTTTAATGTACCACAGTAAGTGTCCTTCACTCACCTCAGCACCAACTGGTTCCCCTCGCCTCCATCGGTTGCACTTGAGGTAGTTTGCCATGGATGCGAGCACGTCCGGAACCGATGTCCAGATGTCTGCATGGGAATTGGCGAGAGGAGGGGGGGAGAAGACGAAGAAGATTAAACTACATGAGGAGGTTGGGAGGTTTTGTGGAGGGGAGGAGAGGGGTGAGAGATAATTTGAAGGAAAGAAATTGGGAAGAAAAAATATATATATAAAAAAAAAGAATTAAGAAGTAGGAAAGAATCGAATACATATCAACCCCAGCTGCCATGTTCGAAGACATGAACTGGTGCTGCCCCATCGCCCCTGCATAGCAACCCACTAGCCACGTTCAGTTGCTCCTGGCCTCTCCTACGGTTCTGAGTGGCATTACATACAGTGAAACCCTCACCTCTTCGCCCATCTCTGTCATAATCCACAGCATACGCATTGAAAGATGAAGGCATGAACTGGCACTGCCCCATCGCCCCTGCATACGACCCCAGCAACCGCACCCTCCGCTCTCCCACTGCGCTTGCAGCTGTATCAGCAGCAGCAGCAGCAGCAGCGGCAGCAGGAAGGCTCTGGGTTGCTATGGAAGGCCCATGGTTGCTCTCAAGGATCGATAGTGCTTCCATCAGTTCTTCACGAAAGAAGGCAGCACGCCGAGGCTGCATGGATAAAGGGAATGAAGTGAAGAAAAAGGAAACAGGTTGATGGGAGTGCAGTGCAATCGAGGGCCCTTGGTGGTTGTTCTCAAGGATCAACAGCGCTTCCATCAGCTCCTCCCGAAAGAAGGCAGCACGGTGGGGCTGGTTGGGGATAAGAAGGGAATACAAGAAAGAGCGGATGGGTTGTGCTGGAGGATCGACAATGCTTCCATCAGCTCCTCTCGAAAGAAGGCAGCACGGTGGGGCTGCATACATAAAGAAACGGAAGGTAGGAGAAAGGGAACAGGTTGATGGGAGTGCAGTGCAACAAAAGGCCCTCCCATGGTTGTTCTCAAGGATCGACAGCACTTCTCGAAAGAAGGCAGCACGCGAGGCTGGTTGGGGATAGGAAGGAAGGGAATACAAGAAAGAGCAAACGGGTTGTGCTGGAAGAATGACAGGGCTTCCATCAGCTCCTCTCGAAAGAAGGCAGCACGGTGGGGCTGGTTCGGGAAAAAGAAAGGGAGGAGAAGGTGAGGCAGGAGTGCAGTGCAATAAAAGGCCCTCCCATGGTTGTTCTCAAGGATCGACAGCGCTTTTATTAGCTCCTCTCGAAAGAAGGCAGCACGCGAGGCTGGTTGGGGATAGGAAGGAAGGGAATACAAGAAAGAGCAAATGGGTCGTGCTGGAGGATCGACAGGGCTTCCATCAGTTCCTCCCGAAAGAAGGCAGCACGGCGAGGTTGTATGAGAGAAGGGAAGAGAAGAAAAGAGGAACTGGATGGTGGGAGTGCAGTGAAACAACGAGCCCTTGGTTGCCCTCGAGCACCACACCGCACCGCACCACCTCTCACCTGCTTGGTACGATACGCGAGGGTGAGCAGAGCTTGTATGGCGTCCCACTTGCCCTAGAGCACCACACCACATTGCAAAGCAACACACGACTTCTCACCTGCTTGGTACGATACGCGAGGGTGAGCAGAGCTTGAATGGCGTCCCACTTGCCCATGTTCTTCCCATAGCTGCCACGTCAGCAGGCACAAAACACAGGTCAGCCATACATCCGAGTCTCTTTAAGAAATCACAAACGAAAAAACCATAGAGTGCTGTGCACAAGTCGTGAGTTTAGAGAGAGGGTGCTTCCGGAAACGTCACCAGCACATGTATCCTCGTTACAACGTCCAACCTAAATATAACATCCATCCTCGTTATAGTACCTGCTCTCTATGCCCCACAGGGCCGTCATCACATTGGCCGGCACGCCGTGGGTCTGTGGGGCATCGAGAGCAGTACCGAGGATCTATGCCATATAAGGATTGTGGGACTGTAAGCATGCATGCGAGAATGCACCTGCTCTCGATGCCCCACAGGGCCGTCATCACATTCGCCGGCATATGCATACATGTCATCAACACATCCTCCTCGTTATAACAAGCATCCTCGTTATAAGATGCATCCTCGTTATAAGATGCATCCTCGTTACAGCACCTGCTCTCTATGCCCCACAGCGCCGTCATCACATTCGGCGGCACACCGTAGATCTCCTCGATCTCCGCCAGAAGCTTCCTGTGAGCTTCCATCACCTGCCGCCCTTCCCGCACCCGAGCTTCACTCACCATCCTGCAAGGCACCCATGAATCAACGAATCCATTCAAAAGAGTGGGTGTTGAATACAATACATGCTAACGCCCACGCACCTACCTCATCCCACAATACAATACAGTGCCTCCCTCCCTGTCTCCTCCGACATGCCCCGTGCTACTACTGCCTCATCCCACACTAGTTATACAATCAACCTTCCTCAGCTCTCACCTGTCCACATACTGCCGTGCAGTCAGCACCACCACCTCAGCGGCACCCGTCACTTTAGCCACCACAGCCGGCAGCGGCTGCAGCCCTTCCAGTGCCTCCCTCACAGTCCCCTCTGATATGCCCCGCGCTACTGCCTCATCCCACACCCCCTTCCCTGCACCCAGATCTCACCTGTCCACATACTGCCGTGCAGTCAGCACAACTTCTGCTGCGCCTGTCACCTTAGCCACCACAGCCGGCAGCGGCTGCAGCAGCCCTTCCACTGCCTCTGATGACCCAACTTCTCACCTGTTCACCACGGTATGTTAATCATTTGCCTCGCATACTCACCTGTCCACATACTGCCGTGCAGTCAGCACCACTTCAGCAGCACCAGCCACCTTAGACACCACTGCAGGCAGAGGTTGTAGCCCCTCCAGTGCCTCCCTCACAGTCCCCTCTGATATGCCCCGCGCTATTACTGCCTCGTCCCACACTCCCTGCAGAAAGATTTCATACTCTAGTGCCTCCCTTTCCTTCTCCCTCTCCCTCTCTCGTTCCCTCTCCTTTTCCTTCTCCATTTCCTTCTGTCTCCTCCTTTCTTCCTCCCTTACCCGCCTTGCCTCGTCTCTCTCTCTTCTCCTCGATTCACTTGCGCTGACCCCCACCCGTCTCCCCCCGTTCACTCGACTGACTTGCTTGACTTGTGCTGCTTCTTCACTCACTACTCTAACGCTCTCCTGGCCTCCCTCCCATGCCCTGTGTCGGCTCAATCTCTCCTTATACAAACTATGACTACTGCTGCTGCTACTATCAATCATCCAATTCGCCCCTCCTTGTCTCCTTCTCTTCCCACTCTTCTCCCTCCACCACCGCTGCTCAGCAGTCTCCTCCTGCTGTTCTCCGGTCATCCCCTGTCTCCAAGTAACCAACTGCACGTGCTTCAATGCATCACCACCAACCACCGCACAGTCTCTCATCACATTATACGGCACAACCTTTGGGTCATCCATCACAGAACCGCGTAGCACCCCTTCTTGGTTGAAATCCACCACTCTTGACCTCGCCGCACCTTCTTCAAATTTCCACGCCACTCTTTTCGCCCCTACAAGGGGCGTCTGCCCCAACTCAAAGCTCACCGCCTGCTGTTCTCCTCGCCTCAGCCCTCCATTCCCTCCGTTCCCTCCGTTCACTCCCTTCCCTCCCCTCCCCCTCCAAGCACCCGCAGCAGCCACTAGAAGAGCCAGCAGGAGCAGCAGAACAGTTACTGCAGACGCCAACCACCGGGCAGCATGGCTTATCACCCCTCCTGCTAGCTGCTTCCCTACTGTCTCTTTGAGAGCAGCGGCACACGCTGCTAGTAACGATGCCCACCACTGCTGCAGCTGCTGCAGCCCTGATCGTTTCTTCTCTCCACCTTCATCCTCCCCCACCCCTTCTGGTTTCCTACTCTCCCTCTCCTCCTCCTCTTCCATCCTTAGTCTTTTTGATTCCTTTGAGTGTCTGGTAGGGTCTGGCGGGTCCTCCATTGTAGCGCCTCTGCCTTCAGTCACACCACCAGCCTTGGCAACACGCCTCCCCTCGCTATAATCACCATCCCCCTCTCTAGCAGCACCGCTCTCCACCCCATTACAACCACTTTTCATACAACCATCACCACACACAGGCACATCACCAGCAGCAGCGACATCTGCAGTGGCATACCCATCACCTCCCACCAGCACCACAGCAGCAGCAGCACCACCAGCGTACCTCCTCCTAGCAATCTGGCGAGCAAAGGCAGCACTACCACCAATAGAACCCACCACCAAACCCCCACGAGCAGCAGCCGTTGCCGCAGCAGCAGCAGCCGCAGCGGCAGTGGTTGCTAACAGTGAGACACTGACAGCAGCAGTGGCAGCTTTTCTTAAAGCCCGGATTCTCTCTGGAGTGGCAGCAGCAGCAGCAGCAGCAGCATCTGCAAGTAACCCAGCTCTTTGCCTTAACGTCTCTTTGAGCAGTGGTTGGACCAGCTGGGTCAACGCCTGAGACTGCTGTTTCACCGCCTGTGCGTGCTGCTCGAGCGTCTGCCCTTGTTCTGTTGACGCTGTTAGAGAGGTTCGAATCCGCACTCTAACCCGCTTCTGACGTGTCTGCTTTGAGCCCGAACTTGATCCAACCCCTGCCGAAGCTAGGTCTTCCGAAACTAGGTCTGCCGAAGCTAGGTCTGCCGAAGCTATACCTGCTGAGACTTGCTGGGCTGCTTCTGTCTTGTCCTGTAACCCATCTACAGTTGTACTCGCTGCGTTGGATCGGTCAACCAAACGTTGACTCAGTCTCCTCCTCCATCCAGCAGCCTGATCCCTCAGCCTGCTCTTCACGCGTTGACCAGTGCGTTGACCCAAGTCAAAGACAGAATCCGGCAGTTGACTCAAGTCAAAGACAGAATCCGGCAGTTGACTCAAGTCAAAGACAGAATCCGGCAGTTGACTCAAGTCAAAGACAGAAATTGGCAGTTGGTCCAATTTCTGCCCAGCCTTGTCACCTGCCATGTCTGTCAGCCTACCTTTGACCCGTTGACCAATGCGTTGACCCAAGTCAAAGACTGCATCCGGCAGTTGACCCAACTTTTGCCCTATCTGATCACCTGCCAAGTCTCCCAACCTTCCCTTGACGCGTTGACCGGTTCGTTGACCCAAGTCAAAGACAGAATCCGGCAGCTGAGTTAGCTTCTGCCCGGCCTTTCGAGCCACCTCACCCGCAGCATGGGTCAACGCTCGAGGCGCCTCAGCAGCCACGTCAGCAGCTCTTTTCAGCTTACGAGGCACCTCCTTTATGGGAGCACCAGTTTCCTTTAGTCTACTAGGCACAGTACCCACCAGAGCAGCAGCTTTTCTCACGGCAGCTGCAACAGCTGCTCTCTTGCTCCCAGCACCGCCTTCCTTGCCAGCCTGAATCGTTTCAGTCTCACTCGTTTCAGTCTCACTCGTCTCAACCATACTATCTTCTAATATCCCTGCTGGAACCTTCTCGTCCCTCTCAACCTTCTCCGCCCCTCCACGTCCCTCTCCTCTCATCTCCCTTCTCATCTTCACCTCCTCTTCCTCCCCCTCTCCCTGAACCTCACCTTCCCCATCAGCATTCCCTGAGCTCACACTCCCCTCCACCGCCGACGCGGCAAACCGGCAGTTGCGGCCGAACGGGTGGGTACTGCTGAGTCTACTCCTAATACGGAGATTCGAGGGAGCAACGAACGTATGTGAGAGCGGGAAAGGTGTGGCAAGGAGGAGACGTGCGTTCGCGAATGGACGGCTGCTACTGCTGCTGCTGCCGCTGCTGCTGCTGCTGCGGGGATTCCTGCTGTATTCGATGCGTCGTGAAGATACCCCGGATGTGATAATAAACGGAAGGTGACTATCTCGGGGGTAAATACGCCCCGCGGTAGCTGCTGCGGACACAGCGGCCATCACGGCGGCAATAACGGCTTCCTTCGCGGCGCGTCTCTGCCTAAGAGAGGTATTTAACCGCCATGATCATTCCGAGCAATCTTCCATTAATCTTTCAAAAGCTGGACGCGTTGGGAGCTCGAGCGTTCCGGGTGTCGCTCAGAAACTACTTCGTCACTCGAGGCGGTTCCGATCGTGCTGATGCGATGGTGGTGGGCAGAACCGAGGTGAGAGGGTGAGGTGCCGATTGCTGGCTCACAATATGGCCGTGCTGTTGAATGCTCAGAACGCGATATTATACAGCGCGTTATACTCCAAGGTTGTCGGACAACATTTACCCTAGAGAAAACATTACTGACCAGGCGTTACCCTACAGCAGTTCTGGTGCAGCACGGCACCATGCTAATTAGGTTACCATAGTACCATGCACTCTATCTGTGCATTTCAATTTTATCTGCGTTACATTACCTTCCTTTCCTAAACAATTGTAACAAAAGAAGGATCAGTGCAGTATATTAACAAACTCAAATAAACAACCCCAGCAAATTGTTAAAATGAGGAATGGATGATGCATTGATGTTGGTTGGGGTACATATAGCTAACCCTAAGTTTTGTACCCCCTAAGACAAACCTCACTATAGGCTACAACATTTGACACACCCCCATAGCCTAAGTGAGGGGTGTCTAGCAGAACCAAACGAGTACGGTCACAAGACCAGTCCAAGAAACGAAGCTCAGGGTGGATCACAACGTCACCACACAGTCTGAGCACAAACAACAGTGGCCACAAGGCCAGTCCAAGAGATAACAGAGGTATATAGAAAGCAAAGTAAACAGTACACTCAAGTCTAAGCAACACGAGAACCAGTGTCAACAAGGCCTAACTGCACACAGCACCTCTGGTGGTCACAAGGCGGAAGCGCCTTGGTGAAGATGTCTGCAGTGTTGGCCTCGGACTCCACAAACTCAAAGCGAGCCTGTCCACGCCTCTGCAACTCTCGCAGAAGAAAGTACCTGACGTGAATGTGCTTCACTCTGCTCTCCAGTCGTGGCTCTCGACAAAGGAGAATAGACGCCTTGTTGTCAGTGAACAAGGTCGGTGCAGAGCTCGGCCGCTCACCAAGGTCGGTGAGCAAGAAGGTCAACCAACGCAGCTCCTGTGCCGCCATGGCACCAGCGTAGATCTCAGCCTCAGCTGTAGAGGTCGAGACCGAAGAGGAGCGCGTGGACCGCCAGGAAACAGCTCCAGAACCCAGGCTGAAACAGTACCCCTGAGTAGACCTGAGAGTCTCAGCGTCGTCAGCGTAAGAGGAGTCACAGTGACCAGTAAGTACGACAGACTGCTGCCCTCCAAGAACTAGCCCCACGCCTGACGTCGTCGCTAGGTACTTCGCCACCCTCACAGCTGCTGTCCAGTGAACAGGACGGTGTCTCCCTGGCGCAACAAAGCGCGCAAGAACGCTGAGAGGGAAGGCGAGGTCCGGGCGAGTACAAGTCATCAGGTACATGAGGCAACCCACAAGCTCTGCGTAGGGACCACTAGGCTCGAACGGCTCGTCAGGAAAGGGTCCAGTGAGTCTGTGGTCAACAGCAAGAGGTGTGCGCTGTACTGTGGAGTGCTGAAGCCCGAACCGCTGAAGGACCTGCTGCACCATGTGCGACTGTGAAAGTGTAATGGTGCGAGCAGCTCTGTCCCTGGTGATCTGCAGGCCAAGGTAGTGGCGCAGCTCACCAAGATCAGTGCAAGTGTGTCTCTTCTGCAGTTCGGACTTCACGTGTGCCAAAGCAACCCTGTCAGGGGTGGCGAAAACAAGGTCGTCAACGTAGACCAGAACAAAGAAAGGTGTGGGGCCACGACGAACGAACAGCGACGGGTCAGCAGAAGACGGCTGGAACCCAAGGTCAGACAGGGTAGAACGCAGGGTGTCGTGCCACTCACGAGGAGCCTGACGAAGACCGTAAACTGGTCGCCTCAGCCTCCACTGGGTCCCAGGAGGGAAAGAGCCAGTGAAGGCAGAGGGACGACGCAACCAGACCTCCTCGTGAAGACTGCCCTGAAGGAAAGCAGTAGAGAAGTCGAGAGAGTGTAACTCGTAGTCTCTCTGTGCTGCTACGTGTAGTAACACCCGAAGAGTGGTCATCTTCGGGGTGGGCGCGAAGGTCTGAAAGAAGTCAACTCCCTCGCGCTGACTGAAGCCTCTAGCCACGTAGCGCGCCTTGAAGACCGGAGGAGATCCCGGTGGCCGCTTCACCCTGTAGATCCACATGCCGTCGACTACGTTCGCCCCCGGAGGGGGAACCTCATCGACGTAGGTGCCTGTGGATCTGTAGGAGGCCATCTCTGCGTCCATGGCAGCTCTCCACTGAGAGGCCCAAGGCCCTGACACTGCCTCAGCGTAAGTGCGAGGAGTCGGAATGTCAAGGGCGTCGGGGTCACCCTCAGGGGCGAGGAGCATGGCACAGAGATGAGGGGAAGCGGCTGCCAGGAACTCTAGCTCAAACTGCCTGTCCTCTAGGGCGTCACAGCCAAGGGCAGACACACCCCCGACGGCCAGAGGACTGGAAGGAGGAGCAGCCACAAGCGCGGGCAGGACGCGACGCTAGGAGTGGCGCTAGGCGCGGCACTACGCGCGGTAACAACGGAACCGGGACGAATGAGAGCTAGGATCAGGCTCGGGAGGCTCGAACGGAGAACGGAGGAACGGGATCCCACAGGATCCTAACCTAACTGATACCATGTTAAAATGAAGAATGGATGATGCATTGATGTTGGTTGGGGTACATATAGCTAACCCTAAGTTTTGTACCCCCTAAGACAAACCTCACTATAGGCTACAACATTTGACACAAATCAACTCCCAGCCCAGCACGAAACAACTCCAGCTCTTCAACTCCCAGTCCAGCACTTTCCCAGCCATCCTTCACTTCAATTCTCAGGGCTTCCCCAGCTGCCCTTCACTTCAATTCTTTGCACTTCTCCAGCTTCCCTTCACTTCAATTCTCTGCACATCTCCAGGTGCCCTTTTCTCTGCACTTCCCCACCTGCCCTTCACTTCAATTCCCAGCACTTCCCCATCTGCCTTTCACTTCAATCACATTCTGCCTGTCCAGGAGCGACTGAGGCAACACCTCTAGCTGCTTACACCCATCCAGATCCACCTCCCTCAGACAGGACAAACTGCCCAAGTCGCTGGGCAGCGCACTTAATGCAATGCACCCTTTTAGAGAAAGTTCGACAAGGGACGGGAGGAGGGGGAGAGTGGGGGGGACATACTGCAGACCAGGCAGGCGCTCAAGCTTCAGAGATGCGAGGCGGGAGAGGGAGGAGATGGAATCTGGGAGGCTGGTGATGCGTGGACAGTCGATTATGCTCAGGCAAATCAGAGAGGGCATGAAAGTGAGGGAGGGAGGAAGGCCTTGCAAGTCCTTGCATGATTCAACATGAAACCTGAGAGCCTTCAGCTGCCCGAGGTTTTCGGGCAGGTGCGTAAGCAGCGGGAGAGACTTGATGGTCAGCTGTTCGAGATTTAAGAGGTCGGGCAGGCAGGCAGGAAGCAGGGACATGGCAGAACACTCCTCTAGAACAAGTGCTTTCAGTGCTCTCAGGTCGCTCAGGTTATCGGGAAGCGAAGGCAAACTGGTATGGCTGATATTGAGGCAGGTGAGAAAGGATAGGAGCTCTAACCTAGCCTGCCCTATGGCTACGGTGTGTCTACGACTAGTGATGACAGGAGGAACTTCAGGTGTGGCTTCCCCCTCCCATTCGGCTGGAATCTGGTGTAAAGTCGGAGGGGCTATCAGCTGCTTGATTGATCGGAGGCCTCGAATATTCAGGCTAGTAAGGCGGCTGAGAGAAAGAAATGACTCTGGGAGGTAGCTAACTAACCCAAAGGTGTACGAAATGGAAATGGAGGTCAGGGAGCGAGGAAGGGAGATGGGCGCAGAAAGAGGCAGGGGGTCGACCGGTCTAGTGAAAGCCCAGGCGACCTGGTCAGCAAATCTTGGCTTGTTGCAGTCTGCAAGCGTGAAATCTTCCAGCCTAGGTAGCTTAGCGAGGCCCTCTGGGAGGAATTGCAAATCGCAGCAGCCAGATATCTTCAGGCGCGTGAGCGATGGGAGAGGAATGTAGTTAAAAAGATGGGCTTTGGAAGCAACAGCAGCAGCAATAACATCAGCAACAACAGCATTGGCAGCAGCTTCAGCAGCTGCATCAGAAGGGCCTGCTTCAAGGGTTTGAGCAAGAGTAGGCCTGAGGGACGGAAATACCTGGAGACAGTCGCAATTCATCACCTCGAGCACTTTCAGGCTGGACAGATTTCCCATGCCCAGTGGTAAACCCTTCAGCAGCTCGCATCCGTCTATTATCAGCTGCTCCAGACGGGTGAGGTGAACCAAGGATGGCGGAAATTGATAAAGTCCACATGACCCGTGTAACTCAGACTCGGAAACAGCCTCTGCTTCCGAACTTCTAGGAGCATCAGTTAAAAAATCTTCAACAGTAAACCCCCTCCTGCTGTAAGTATCCCTGGCACCGATCTTAAATACTTTCATATTCTCCAAGCCTCCAAACTCGTTCGGGAGTCCCCCAATGGCGCAGTTAAACAGCTCCAGTCTACTCAGCTGTGGCAGCT